TGAGGCAGGAGAATTGCCTGAACCCAGGAGGCGGAGGTTGCGGTGAGCCGAGATCGCGCCATTGCACTCCAGCCTGGGTAACAAGAGCGAAACTCCGTCTCAGAAAAAAAAAACAAACAAAAAAAAACCTCACACACAAAAAATCTCATAATGCTTTAAGAGAGTTTACAGGTTTGTGTTGGGCCACATGCAAAGCTGTACTGGTCCGCATGCGGTGCCACGGGTTGGCCAAGCTTGGTTTAAGGTATCATAGGTAAATTATAAAATGAAGATTGGCACAGAATAATTAAAGTTATATGCCATATCCAAAGTTGAGTTAATTTCACTAATTGAGAAAATCCTAATTGATATTATCCCCTTTTTAATCTCAAGCATATATCCCTTGAGCTGTCAAGAATTCTTCTTATAAAAAGGTAAGAACTGATAGTATTGGGGGATTCTCCCTCCTAAAATAACAGTGATTAGCATAGAGCTGAATCAGGTTCGGGTTTCTCTGTCCAAAATAGAGTTAGGGTCAAGTTTGTATTTGTACTCGCAAAAACCAATGGCAAATTTTACTGCTATTTAAAATGATCTACTAAGATTATCTTTAAGTGTATACATGTTAATTAATTAAGAACATATTAGGAACTCTGCTATTTAAAGTTCTAAGGACATGGAAATTTTGTCTAAGTGATAGAAATTTTAAATTTTAATAAATTTAAAATGTATAAAATAAATTATATATAGGGTCCAAAATACTGTCAAAACCTTGACTTTAGAAAATACAGGAGTTAGAGTTTATATTTAGCTGTATTGTGAAGAATGCATTTCAGAAACATGGTTTTAAAAGGGAGTGAAAGAATTCAACTCACACTGAACACTGAGCTTGGGCTAGCTATCGGCATGGTGAGGGCTCACACCTTCAGCTGCTTCACTCAACAGACGTTTCTTTGGTGGTTATTAAATACGGAAGAAAAAATAGAGATGGATATGATGCTGCCTTTTCCTACCTTGATACGAATATCTTTGAAGTGTTTATGATCCTTAATTCCCTGTTTAAGTACAAATTTAGCTACCTTCCAAAATATTTGCCATGTGCTGCTCTTTCATTGCTGTTTGGTCTCTTACTTCCATTCAGATCTTTGCACTGACTCGGTGATTTGAATGTCATGTCTTGGAGTTATATTTTCGGTATTGATATTTAAATTGCCTTCTTTTGAGATGGCGTATCACTCTCATTGCCTAGGCTAGAGCGCAATCTCTGCTCACCACAACTTCCACCTCCCGGGTTCATGGGATTCTCCTGCCTCAGCCTCCTGAGTAGATGTGATTATAGGCATGCACCACCACAGCTGGCTAATTTTGTATTTTTAGTAGAGAGGGGGTTTCTCCAGGTTGACCAGGCTGGTCTCAAACTCCTGATCTCAGGTGATCCACCTGCCTCGGCCTCCCAAAGTGCTGGGATTACAGGCATGAATCACCGTGCCTGGCCGATATTTAAATTTCTTAAAACATGACCAGATGTTGATATCCTCCAGTTACCAAGCGACTCTCTTCTGATGTCGTGGGCTCACTGGTTGTATGAATCGGACATATCCTTCCTAAGTTTGTACTGCAGGAGCCCTCAACTCTAGCATTACTCTCCCTTCCACCACGGTGTTAAATTTATCCATGTATTTGGTTAACTCTGACCATGTTTCCTTAGTATATTTTGAATCCGTGTTACTAAGATCATACCATTTCTTCCTGAGTTACTAAACCTTTCTATCCTCAAAACTTCATCATGAAGGTTTGGAGGTTTTTCCTGGAATGCTGAACATATTTTTCCTCAAAACCTCAAAAGTCTCCTTTTTAGGAATGTTTCCACCCTCCCCTAAAAAGGTATTTTATGTGCAATTAAAATGGTTTCAACAAGATTCTTGAGTTAATACTTGCCTGGATTATTACTTTCCATTATTTTACTTTAGCTGTTTTTCTGCTCCCGTGTTTTAGGCATGTCTTTTGTAACCCGCATGAAGCTAGATTCTCTTCCTTTAATCCAGTCTAAGAGGCACTGCCTTTTACACTTCAGTTAGTCCATTTCCATTTCTATTCACTATTCAGGTGAATGGTCCAGGAGTTCCTTCCTGGGGGGTCCTCAGCCTGAGGTTTCAACAAGGTCAGGGAAGATAATGACCTTGGCACAGAGATCATGACCTTTGAGGACACAGCTGGCTGTCTCTCCTGGAGAAGGGGCCCAGAGGGGTGTGGTCCATGCCGAGCACTGAAGACCTCTGAACTCGAAACCTCACTGGGACTTGAGGCCACCACCCCCACGTGGCTACACAGCTGGAGCTGATGGGGGGCCAGGGGACTGAACAGCAAGGACACGAATCCAGCCAAGACAGAGAGGCCCAGCTCTGAACCTAGAAATGCATGGTGTTCGGAAAGGTCTCAAGAAGCAGCAGCCATTATTTACTGCCAGAAAATTCACGAGGCAAGTCCCATATGTATGAGGAGTGTGAGCAACTCCACACGTCCTACAAGTGCTGTGATGACAAGGAAGCCTCCACAATTCCCTCCTCGTTTGGCACCAGGATGTTCTAAGCAAAGGAGGGTCTTTTGAGTGCAGGGAAGATGAGGGAACCTGAAGCCAAAGCTGTCACCTCCTTCAGAATTCCAAAGTCCACCCTGCAGAAGCGATTTGTGGGGGAAGCCAGACTGAGAAAGTTCCCGCTCACTCAGCACTGAGAATTCACACCAAGAAGAGGCCTCCTATGGGAGGTTCTTCAGTCATGTTCATTCAGGCCTTCAGCATCCTGAAAGCTCACACAGGAGAGATGCTGGTGAGCACAATGAGTGTGAAGAAGCTTCATTTGCCCCGGGAATGTCACAGGCTGGTGGGCCACATGAGCGTGGCCAGTGTGGGGGACGGATTTGGGCTACTCTCAGCCCAGTACCCAGGACTACAATTCACGATGCATGAAACAACATTCTACACACAGGAATTTATGTACCACCCAGGAGGAGTGAATACTGGCCCCAAACTCAGTTTTAAGTTATAGCTATAACTCAAACAATATACATAAAATGTTGTATATATGTGTAACGTACATATATTTAATGTTGACCCTAAAAACTTGTAAGCATAAACCCATCGGTTTCTACATACAAGTTTTTAGGGGCAACATTATATGTATGTACATATGTATAACATATATATATGTATATGGAAACGTAAATGTACATGTAATTATGTTATTAGATGTAATATGTAATTATATCTACATATTAGGTATGCTATAATATATACAGATTACATCTGTATACATGTGAAGGTATGTAATTATACTTAAGAATTCTGTGCCGGGCGCGGTGACTCAAGCCTGTAATCCCAGCACTTTGGAAGGCCGAGGTGGGTGGATCACGAGGTCAAGAGATCGAGACCATCCTGGTCAACATGGTGAAACCCCGTTTCTACTAAAAAAAAAAATACAAAAAATTAGCTGGGCTTGGTGGCGTGTGCCTGTAATCCCAGCTACTTAGGAGGCTGAGGCAGGAGAATTGCCTGAACCCAGGAGGCGGAGGTTGCAGTGAGCTGAGATCGCGCCATTGCACTCCAGCCTGGGTAACAAGAGTGAAACTCCGTCTCAAAAAAAAAGAATTCTGCCCTGGCCAGGCACAGTGGCTCATGCCTGTAATCCCAGCACTTTGGGAGGCTGAGGCAGGCAGATCAAGAGGTCAGGAGATCAAGACCATCTTGGCCAACATGGTGGGACCCCATCTCTACTAAAAATACAAAAATTAGCCAGGCATGGTGGCGCACACCTGTAGTCCCAGCTACTCAGGAGTCTCAGGCGGGAGAATTGCTTGAACCGGGGAGGCGGAGGCTGCAGTGAGCCGAGATCACACCATTGTGCTCCATCCTGGGTGACAGAGCGATACTCTACTAAAAAAAAAAATTCTGCCCTATGATATATGCATTTTAATTTCATCCCAGCAGGAAACTTGCAAGACTGTGTCATGTCTAAAAATCTGTGAGTGTCACACAAGTCATTATTTTTCTCCAGGATTTCTTTCTTCGGGATCTGGATGAATAAAAATCTGTTGATAGCCCCTAGCCCTAGTGTGGCGGAGAGTGACGGTCATTGTTGCCGACTCTATCTTGGTATCCTTGGAATCAGCCAGCAGATTGGTGAGAGAAAGCTCCTCTAATGATTCTCGCTCAAACACTGTACCTGTTGCTTTTGACAGACTCTGTTCTCTCGAGAAGATATTAACTGCCAGCTGGCTCTGACAGTTTGGGAGCTAACGCTGACATTTGAGTTGGCACCATAACAGTATTTACAACTCAGGAAATGTATATGGGCAGACTACATGGAGCCAGCGAGGTTTGAGGTTAAAAAAAAACAAAACAATATACATGTTAAGCATGGCCACAATAACAGAATTACTTTAAAAATAAATTCAGAGCTTAGGGTTTTTTTCAGGAAATATCTGCTGTCTATGAAACATATGGCATATACTTGCAAAGAGAGAAAGGGCTGTAAAGAACAGAGGATGGGAATTGAGTTACAGAGCTGGCCACCCATACTATATTTTGTAATAGTTTGCTATGTGAGAACACTACTGAAGCAAGGTAGAAAAAAAGTCAATTGTGAATGATGTGGAATATAAATAGAAAGTATCACTGGAGCAGGAAAAAAGGTGAATCTTACACTTAGGTTATTTTTGGTTTGGAGGCTCTGAACTGGCTGTCATTTCCTTTCCATGGATATAACTTTGTAAGGCATTTAAGTTGGCACAGTTCCGCATGGTCACCCAAAATGGTTAAGTCACTAGGAAAGCGACCCTGGAAGGCAGTGGCACAGGTTGGATTTTTGGTGAGTGTAATTAACGTTTGAATATCATAACTCTTTCGGTAATATTATCAGATGGAAGAAGAGTCAGTTGACATTTTCGTCTCTAATTTCCTAGCAAACGGTGATGACATCATCATTTTCTTGCAATAAGAGGAATGAGTGTGACCAGGTACTTACTGCACTGGTCCCAGGGCAGTTCGGGGACTGGCACTCGCCACTCATCCGGTTTGGAATTAAAACATCATCCCAGCCAGATGGACCCTTTGGGAAGAAACAACAATATATTCTTATACGAGTCATAATAGAAATGTACTTCCTAAGACATTTTCTAAAAGGTTTCCCCTTATATTGTAAAATAGTACTGAAATTAATGTGTAGTCCTGTGATTTTCAGAGTGTGGTCTGCAGCCCCTGGAGGTCTTCCTGACCCTTTAAGGGATCTGCTAGGCCAAAACTATATTCATAAATATACAGAGATTATATTTGACACTTTGCTCCAAACATATTCATTTTCCACTTGTAGCCTCCCTCTAGGGCTGAGGTTAAACGCTGCCTTGCTAGAAAGGCCGTTTCTGACTTGGTTCCACTTCTCTGTCTGCCCTTTCAGGTTTCTTTGCTTCATTGTAATTGTCACCACCACCACCCCTGCCCGCCAGCCATGCAGTGCCCAGCGCAGAGCGAGGGCTGTCTGTCCCAATTGACCATAGCTACACAAAAGCCCACTTTGTCTACTCCATTCCCTGAGGCATCCCAGCACCTAGGGAAGGGCCCGGCATGGAGGGGGTGCTCAGCAAACTTTCCTTGGCGTAAAAGAAACAAAAATACAAATAACAGCAACACTCTTGTTGTTGTTGTTGTTGTTTTTCAGATGGAGTCTCACTCTGTTGCCCAGGCTGGAGTGCAGTGGCACAATCTCAGCTCACTGCAACCTCCGCCTCCTGGGTTCAAGCGATTCTCCTGCCTAAGCCTTCCAAGTAGCTGGGACTACAGGTGTGCACCACCACACCCGGCTAATTTTTGTATTTTTAGTAGAAACGGGGTTTCACCATGTTTCCCAACATGGTGTCCATCTGTTAACCTCGTAAGCTGCCTGCCTCAGCCTCCTAAAGTGCTGGAATTACAGGTGTGAGCCACTGAACCCGGCCTATACTCTCTTAAATTAGAGGAGACCACTTGAAATGAAATATCAGTGTCAATTATTGCATTCCTCTTGGAAAGCAAACCAGTAAAAAGCATCATAATCATACATTTTTGTCTAAATTTTAAGAAATCGGGTTGTGCATTGTGGCTCATACCTGTAATCCCAATACTTTGGGAGGCTGAAGGGGATGGATCACCTGAGGTCAGGAGTTTGAGATTAGCCTGGCCAACATGGTGAAACCCTGTCTTTACTAAAAATGCAAAAATTAGCTGGGTGTGGTGGCGCATGCCTGTAATTCCAGCTACTCAGGAGGCTGAGGTAGGAGAATCGCTTGAACCCAGGAGGCGGAGGTTGCAGTGAGCTGAGATGGTGCCACTGCACTCCAGGCTGGGAGACAGAGCAAGACTCCACTTCAAAAAACAAAGGCAGACAGGGGAGAGGACACCCGAGACCAGGTGCAGTACATTTCCAGATCCTCAGATTTTCCAGACAGAAAGGTCAGATCATCTACTTGGAAACAAAAATCAAAATATATTTTTTAAATTTTAGCAGTGCCTTCCATTTTAACCTAAAATTCTGTATCTGGCCTGATTATCAATTAAACGGGAAAATGGGAAAAAGTGGCTTGGGGAGATACAAGCTGGAAAGTTGGTTTGTGTGTCTGCAGCGCTCAGGCCAGGAAATCATCGGATGCCTGAGGAAAGCCCCAAGTGGCAGGCCTGGACCTCCTCCCTGTGGGTGGAGCAGCAAGGTGGTCACATGAGGGGCTGAGTGGAGAGGTGAGCTGTGGTCTCCCCAGCTGTGACATAGAAGGAAGGTGGCATCAAGGGCTGGAGGAGATGGACAGTTTCCAGGAGACGTGGTATGAGGCTAGAGCCCAGCACAAGGCAGAAGGTTAGGATTCAGGGGTGGAGGTTATGGTGATTTTACTACCAACGTTTGGACCCAGCCAGTGTTTCACCTGTAGGAACTAAATCGGTCATCACAAGTCAGCACAAGGCCCTTCTCTGCTTCCGAAACCAGTGCAGAGCTGCCCTGCCACCTTGCAGCAGATGCTGGGGAACATGCTGTGGGAGGTGGAAAGGGGCTCAGAGCCACTTCTGCCGGTCTGCAGGAGTGCTCCCTCCCTCTCTCCTTTACCATTACACGTGTGCACAAGACATGCACCCAACACGCTCACACATACATGCACATACCCCCCACACTCACTCCTACACACACAGGAATGCACACTCACATTATGCCACACACCACACATGCATAAACACACCACATATGTACACGTGCACACACATCCCACACACCCCACACACCTCACACACATGTATGCACACCAAGACATACCGCAGAAGCATAAATGTACCACATATGTACATATGCAAACATATCCCACACACCCCCACACACAGACACCCACATGCATACACACATACCAAGACACACCACACTTGCATAAACACACCACATACGTACCTACACATCCCACACAACTTACACATCCCACACACCTAACACACCCCACACACATACACCCACACCCATGAACACACATCAAGACACACCACACATGCATAAACATGTGACATATGTATATGTGCACACACATCCCTCACACCCCACACACCTAACACACCCTACGCACATACACCCACACATAGGCATGCACACCAAGACACAGCACACATGCATAAACACACCACACACACACATGCACACACAAATGACACCACATAGCACACAGGTGTACATATACTAATACACTCACACACTCATGCATCACACATGCGCTATTCTAGAGAAAAGCAGGGGGACGCAGAGCAGTTCTCCAGGCCTGAGCTGTACCTGAAAGAGACTGAGCCATTTGACAGAGGCTCTTTACCCCAGACCTCAAAGGGAGCCACATCTGGGAGCCACTGATCATTAACCCAAAAGCCACTGCTTAATATGGAGGTAAGTGTGCAGAAAAGAGAGCTGGAATGAAACTGCGATGCTTTGAAAAGCCTGCTTTCAAGCTTGGACTGGGCTGGCGTCTCGGAATGTGAATTTTGGAAGTGTCCTCATCATTCCCTTACTGCTATGGCTGGTGTGTAGAGCCTGAACTGTCTGTACAAACCATGGCTATGTGCAACATCTCACCCTGTGCAAGTCTGGAATTTTGATAAGCCTCAGGCAGAGGCGGCTACATGACCAGTTCCCACTAAAATTGCTGGGCACTGAGTCTCTAATGAGCTTCCTGGCAGACAACACTTCATACACGTTGTCACAGTGTCTGCTGGGGAAATGAGTGCCTTCGACTGACCACTGCGAGAGGACTCAGAGCCTTGCCTATAGTTTCCCCTAAACATCTCCTGCTGGGCCTTCTGCCTTTGCTTCATATCCTTTTGTTGCAGTGAATCTTAGCTACGTGTGTGACAGCATGGCGAGTCCTGGTGAATCACTGAATCTGCAGGTGGGAAGTGGTCTTGGGGGCCCAGGACATGATGACATATAATTGGTGGTCAAGGTAATGTTCTCCCAGGCACATAGGAGGGTTGGGGGGGGGTCGGGCGAATCATTAAGATCACATCAGTCACAAAGAAGAAGACATTTAACTTTCTTTGCATATCCCGATATAGTCACGATAATGTAAGCACTTATGTGATCTTCAACTTTAGGGTAACACTATTGAAAATGAACAGAGGATTTTAATTATGATTATGTAATCATATAAACAAATATATACATTATTCAGCTTGGACAACATGAAAGGAAAAACAGAAATGTGAGGAACTGGAAGGCAGAAGTGAGGCTGGAGAGAGAAGAGAAGTGGGGATGACTGTGCTTACCTTCCAAGCTGTTGTTAGTATAAGGCTGTCTGTACCTTTGCTTTTTAAACATGTGCATATATTCACTTGAAAAGTCATAAATGCACAGAAATAATAGGTAAAGAAAGGATACCTTGGAGCTTGATCACATTCACCAGCCCCATTTTTCCAGCTTAACGTGAGAAATTTAGTGGAGGTAAATGTGGCTAGAATGCAGTCTGCTACAATGATAACACTTTAATCTGAGGCCCCTTCTTACTCCTAGACAAAAACCATGAGCCTTCACTGCTCTAGCCATGGGACTCCTGGAACACTGTGTGCAATGACTGGGCAGTTCAGTTCTCTATTTTCTATAATGTGACAGGAGCAAAGTTAAATCTTCTTTGTAATGGTACAGACTCACTGGGACATTTGCTTCTATTGTTTGGATAGTCATAAGATTCATACTCACGGTGTGAGTATTACGGACAAAGCAGCATGTCCATTTTATTGTACTGAATTCCCATATCCAGCCGAGGATTTTAATTACGATTATTAACTACAGATGTAATATACAAATTGCATGGCAAATCGCAAATCCTTTGACGAGAACGCAGAGGGCACAACTTGCCCCTTTGTTTGTTTTCATGTCTGTTTCTCTGTAGGTTGTGGTTTGTTCCACCTTTATGGACACTACAAATCAGATTTCTCTCATTTTTAGACAATTAGGAAATCTTTAGAGTCAGATTTGTGGACCAGGTCTTGCAATTGTATGTAACTCATACTACACACTTTGTTTACAAATATTACCCTCGGCTTTGCATTCCTTTCCTTTGATCCCATTCCTCATGTAATTTAATTTTTCCTGTTTTTCATCTCTATGTATTCCTGCAAGCTCCTCACATCATTCTCAAATGAGGCAGGGTATCATTAGGGAATTGTCGGGCCTCGTGACTAAGCCTGACTGACAGCTCTGACAGAAGCAGCGCTGTCTTGGGTTGGAAGTCATGTCTCCTCTGGGAACAAGGTGATTTCTGGCTAGATGCCTGTGCTGAGCTCTGGCTCTCATAGTGTGGCTGGTGGCGATTCCCAACGAACCATACTGTGCTTGAGGCACCGAAAAGTCCCTGGGTTTAAAAGAAATCCATTTTGCTGTGGTTAACCATTCTGTAATGGGACAATATTGCTTCTCTTTTCTGTCAACATGCAAGTTTTTTTGACTGACTGATGGCAAATAACTCATCTATGTGGCAAAGCCAAGGAGGAGCACTAATAAGCTGGGCGTAGTGGCTCACACCTGGAATCGCAGCACTTTGGGAGGCCCAGGCGGGTGGATCA